AGCCGCTATTACATTTTGTCAAAAGTTACTTTGTACCAAAATAGTACAGATTACCGACATGTTTTCTTGGCGAAGTAGTTCCCTACCGGAAAAGTACTCGGTAAGTAGCAAGAGACACGGAGAGAGAGAGAATGGGAAAGTAACTACGAGAGAGAAGGGAGTTGGGAGGAGTCAATGGGAGGAGAGAGATTAGGGGTGGTTTCCTAAGGCGAAATACTCAGTTACGCAAAGGATATGGAGAGAGAGAATGGGAAAGTAGTAGAGAGAGAGAGAGAGGATTTGGGAAGAGTCTGGAGAGAAAAGTTAAGAGATATCACGTGAAGAGAGAGAAATGAAGGGTTAGAAAAAATATGTCTTTTTCAGATTTGTTTGGATAAAAAAATAGGTCTAAAATAGGTAAAATTAGTTTAGGGGGTTAGAAGATATAAGACATACAACTGCTATGCCAAAAGATAGGTTTTGAAACTTTGGGTCTATTAAGAAATGAAGCCTAAAAATAAAGGGTATAAACATATTTTATACAATGATACTATGTATACATTGATAGCTTGAGTTTAAAAAAGGAATTATTTTGAACTTCTATGCCCAAAGAAATTTGATAGCTTGATGTGTCAAAGTTCAAAATAATTTCTTTTGAATTTTGAGTTTAGTTAATGGGATAAATGCAGCCACCCAATTTCATATGTAATTGTCAAAATTAATTAATACTACCTTGTATCAAAGGTAAGTTTCACTGAATAATATTTTTTTAAAAAAATATATATACAAAATATGAGTTACTTGTATATGCATTAAAATTTTAATATTTTACTAATAAAATGATAATAATTATAAAAAGATAAGTCGGTGGGGATTTAAAGTCCTACCTTTTGGTGAGAATGAATCCAAAAGCTTCATCATAATGGTACTGCCACCAAAACCCAGCCCATTCTCAATAAAATGATAATCATACCAACACATCTGGCTATATTGGCCTTGTAGATTGAAGTACTAGGCATTTTACCCTTATTCATGCATAGGTAACATAGCACCCTGCACATGCACCTGCGGCTGTGAGCAGACAAGAGGATTATCTTTGTTTTTTTTCAAAAGGGTGGCCTACTTCTTGCCAATAATGGTAGTTGGTCATGGAATGACGGAATGTGCCTTCTCATTTCTTCCATTTTTTAATTTTATTCATTTTTTTCTTTGTGCAACAAGGGGGAAGGACAAACACCTTATTAAAGACACCCAATGATTTTCTCTTTTTTATGCAACTAATTGGAATAAACTTGTGTTTTTTTTTTCTTTGGTAAGTACCAATGTTTAGTTGCTATCTCTTTAATGGAAAATTGTTTCATGCGGTGGGGACCGCATTTCTACATTTGCTGTCCCCGAGGTATCCATTTAGAAGCAATTGAAACTAACGGTCAAAAGGTTTTTTTAATAGAACTATTTCGTTTAATTTTCAAAATTTATTTATTTATTTATATTCATGATCTCCATGTTAGAGATTGCATGTCCTCAAAAATTACGTCCAAAAATCCATCTCAAAAATAGATTTTTAAGATATGACTCATTTCTACATGGACTGTGTCCCTCTTTAATTAAACTTATCTATAAAGAAATAATAATGATATATCCTTGCCTCTTAGACAATGATAGAAATAATCAACCATTATCGATGAAATCCAAGGGGTTATTACGGATTTCTCATTAGCCAAAAGATATTCTACAACCCCTGGGAATGGAATGTTCCTCTACTCCAATGGGTGAGTCCCAGTTCGAATTAATACTAGGACCCCAAATTTTGGGGATGTAATATGTTCAACCATCGATTAACCTCCATAGAAAATAATTCCTAATTGTACTCTCTATTAACTTTGTAAAAATAATGGCTCTAGATTGAATAGAGACTAGGTCATTTTTAGATGATGAGATCTAAGTATTAGAAAACTCAAATTTCAAATTTTTTAACTGAGAATAATCACCTAATAATTATTAAATGATTATCAAAATTTCACATTTGAAAAACTCCTCCCAAATAGATTTGATGACCGAGGGAGTAGAAGTGAACTATACTCCCAAGGAGCGTAGTGTATGCACCCTTCTCATAAATATTGCTGATATATATGCTCAACACAGAGAAATAAAAGCATCAGCATCATGTCTGTGTTATCTTACATCAAAACCCTAATACAAGCAAGAAAATTAGTCTCTAAAGTTTTTTTTTTTTACATAAAAAATAATTAGTCTGTTGTGTCTTCAGTTATGTTTCCTCAATCCATCCTTGTTTACTGAGCATTTGTCCAGTCCATTGGTCAATTTTGGCGGTAAAATATCATCAAAATTTCATTGAATGAATGTTGGCTAGTCATGTTCGTTTGAACTCATAGACACAGCTTTTATGAGTATCAGAACTCATTATGTAGATATGCAGCCCCTCTTCATAATCCATTTCTGAGGTATATTTTGGACTTAATTTTTTAGGGACACATAATCTCTAAACTAGAGAGTAAATTCTTAAAAGTAAAAATGAGAATTTTTTGAAAAAAATTCAAACCATTGATTTTACCCTTTTTTTGGGTAGAGAATAAATTCTTAAAAGTAAAAATGATAATTTTTTGAACAAAACTCAAACCATTGATTTGACCCTTTTTTTTGGGGAGACTACAATTCCACATATGGATGTGGGATTTTTATCTTTAGATTATCTTATGCACATAATCATCTTCAAAATGTTGGTATCTACTAAATCTGTGTTAAAAAGGTACATGAGTGACCTGTGAGAATCCATATAGATGTAAGAGATCATTTTCTCCATTCATTTCTAAGTTAATTCACAACAAAATGATTTTCTCTGCACGGGGAAAAGTGCAGTTAAAACTGCAACTTTTTTAACTCTTCAAAACATCTTCAGAGAACTTAGCTTCTGTGTGTCTCGCCCTGCCCCCCCCTTCTCTTACACACACACACCTTCCATTACATTTCACAATAGAAATAGAAATAGAAGAAGTGGAGAAAAGCCAACCCACTTCAGGCATCAATTTCTAATAAAAAACATATAAACAATAAGGCCCTACTTCCAATACCATTCAAAGAGAAATAAACAAAAAAAGAAAATCCTCATACTTGCCTTATATGGACCTGGCCAAAAGATTCTGGTGACTACATGAAAGAGAATGAATTAAAAAAGGTCAAAAAAGAAAAAAAAAATTTCCAATAGATCCAGCCTTTGATTCCTATATAATCAGAAGATTAGGAACGTACAAGGACAAAAGATGGAGATGCAGGATGAGGATGCACGTGGCCAAGCTGAGTTCTGGCAGCTCACCTTAGCTTTCGCCGACAGTCTCACACTCAAGTGTGCGGTCGAGCTCGGCATACCCCAGTTAATCCATGCCAAAGGCCAACCCCTCACCCTCTCAGAGATTATCACCTCACTGCAAGCTCCCTCCCCCGACTCATGGTGTCTCTCACGAGTCATGCGTTTCTTGGTGAAGAAGCGCGTGTTTAGTGAAGAGGTGAAGGAGGGGGAGGCCTACTATGGCCTCACTCGTGCCTCTAAATGGTTGGTGAGGCCGGGGACATCGGGCCTTGCTCCCATGCTTACGATGCTGAACCACCCTATATTCCTTGCACCATGGCAGTGCTTGAGCCAGTGTGTGGTGGAAGGGGGCAATGCCTTTGAAAAGGCCCATGGTAGCAAGATATTTAAGTATGCGCTAAATAATCCAGGTAGCAATGAGATATTCAATGAGGCCATGGCTAGCGACGCTCGGGTGGTTCTTGATGCCTTGCTCTCCCAGTATAAATCAGGGTTTGCAGGCTTGACATCATTGGTTGACGTAGGTGGTGGCACAGGGACCGCGGTGATTGCGATAGTAAAGGCGCACCCGCATATCTCAGGCATTAATTTTGACCTCCCGCATGTTGTGTCGAGTGCACCAGAGCATCCGGGTGTGGTTAATGTCAGCGGTGACATGTTCATCTCTATCCCTCATGCCGATGCAGTTTTCATGAAGGTATTGGCACATTGCATACTCTCTCCTTTATTTGTTGTAGTTTTCTGATTTACTGGACAGTGAAGAAGAAATTTTGTATCCTCATCTTTCTCTATTTCCTCCCTCTCATTGATTGTGAAAAAATCTTGGATTTAATGCTCCCTCCATTCCATTTTCTTGTCTCTCCCATTCTGAGCTTGAGAAAATTGTTCATTTCAAATTGGTCCAGTGGATATTGCACGATTGGGACGACGACGATTGTGTGAAAATCTTGGACCAGTGCAAGAAAGCAATCCCAAAGAACAGTGGGAAGTTGATCATCGTCGATGCAGTCTTGCGTCCTGAGGATGATACAAGTGCTTTTGCAGACTCAAGGCTGGCATTTGACCTCTTGATGCTTGCATTAGCCCCAGGAGGCAAAGAAAGGACTGAAAAAGAGTGGAGGACTCTATTGAGCCAAGGAGGTTTCAGCAAATGCAATATCATATCGCTTCCAACACTACAGGCCATTATTGAAGCTTTTCCTGATGAGTAGTACTCTCTATATTACTCTGTGGTCTTCATGTAACCATGATTCTGATTGTGGCTTGTTTCTTCTTTCTGTTCGTTTCTTTTCTTGTTAAACTATAGTAGAAATATAAGTGTGTTATGTAAAATAATTTCACCACTTGCTTGATTTGGGAAACCGTCAGCAACTTTGTTTTGGTAATGTGAAATTCTCAACTTTGTTTTGGTGATGTAAAATTCCTTCTGGGGAATTATATGATAAGACAATTGTCTGCCCTATTGAAATGGAAAAAACTTGTGTGTTTCTCATTGCTTTGAGAGGAGGTATGGTTGTAACATGACAGGTAGTTACATGACTTTTGACTTGGTTTACATAAAAAATTTTGATTTAGCGTACACAACTTTTGACTTTGTGTATATAATGCAGTGTTTTAGAACTCGGCTCAGGCAGCGGACTCTCACCTAAGTTATATTCGAGTCCACCATGGCCTCCAAAAAATCAAATAATTTGAAGGGTTGTGAAGTTTAGATTATCTCACATATAATGGACAGTTGGATAAGGGGGAGGATAGAACTTCTATGCTATAGGGGAAGCATAGAAAGCTTA